CTGGAAGTGAGGTTGGAAGTAATTTAAAAGAGAAAGCTCATGGACTTGGACTTGAATGGATGGATGTAGACTGTTTATGTTACTGTCATCTCATGACAATGAGGGGAGAGCTTTTCAGAAACCATAGCCAAAACATTAAGCAAAGCCAAGAAGTGAAAAAAAGAAAAACTATGTCTGATTTCATTGATTAAACGAAACCCAACCAAATCTAATAACATGAATATTCATGAATTTTAAAGTTATGTGAGATAAATTATCTTTTGCTTTAAGCAGTTAGGGTTCTATGGTTGCTATCTTTTGCAACAAAAAGGGCAACAATTTAATCATAAAAAATCAGTGGCTAGGGGATCCCTGGGTGGCGCAGCGGTTTGGCGCCTGCCTTTGGCCCAGGGCCCGATCCTGGAGACCCGGGATCGAATCCCACATCAGGCTCCTGGTGCATGGAGCCTGCTTCTCCCTCTGCCTGTGTCTCTGCCTCTCTCTCTCTCTCTCTCTGTGTGTGACTATCATAAATAAATAAAAATTAAAAAAAATTAAAAAAAATCAGTGGCTAGTATTTGACAGAATTAAATAATCATTCCCTTTTTCAAATATGCACTATTCCTCTGCTTTTACCTATTTTTTTTTTGATCCTTTCTTTAATTCCTTCTAGGTCCTCTTTATATATAGCATCAAACCATAGAATTTCAGGGTTCGAATGGAAAAGGGGTAAAGAAACTAATACATATTGAGATTCTTGGAGATGGCACATTTTATGTACATAAATGTCTGTTGGAGGTATGGACACACTTTTTGGAATTATGTTTGGAATACAGCGTTAATGGTTAAAATGCTATAAAAAACATGTTAGATGAAGAGAAAATAGTTGTAACTTTGGACCTCATGCTATCATTTCCATTCTGAATGTAAAGAATGGAATATTAATGAAGCACAGAATGAAGGTTTTCACAGTGATAATGCCCCCAATTGTAGTTTGAAAAAAAGGAAGAACTATCATTGCATTGTGATACTAGCACACTTTCTAGAAAGCAATTAAATTGCCTTGCCACTTCAGTTTTTAAGAAAGCAAAAGGTTAGAAAATACAATAAAAATGAACATTATTTCCAAAGAGCACTGAAAGTCATTGGACTATAACATATTTGAAATCATATCAAAAAGCAGAATTTATGGCCTTATGAGTTATGGAAAAGGAAATTGAATTGTGTGTCTTATTTTTAAAACACAACTACTAAAAAGATGTTTCCATAGTAACAAGGTCAATACCAGTAGCCATTACAAACCTTCCTCTTTTCTGATAGCCGGTTTAAAGTTCTTTTCCAAACACCATTTTAAAAGCCCTATGAAAAAGTACAGCTTTTCTGATCATTCCTCTGAACCAAAAATGAGGAAAAAACACACATGGAGTATTGAATTTCTCATGTTTTATGGATTATAAGCATTCGTGGCTGTCATATTTCAGAAATAAGCCTGCCTGACTAGCTATTATGCCAACCCTTGAACATGGGATTTGATTAGCCTGATTGTAAATCTGGACAAACAGAAGTTGTTTGCAGTAGTATTCAAACAGAAATAAAAGGCGGCACAGCATTAAAAAAAAAAAACACACATTTCTTTAACATCTAAATATTGAAAGAGTTAAGTAAATAATCCTTGTTATTAGAAAAATTTCAAAGGCTCAGATGAAGTCTGATAGCACTGCTAGAGGAAGGTTAGAAAGATACAGACCACATGTTGTTTACAACAGAAATAAATAGCTCTTTGGCCATAAAATCAATTCATTTAGTGCCACCAGGAAGTGGCCTCTCCTTCCTCTTCCTTTTGTGTCAAGATATGCTTGCCTCCACGACAGGCATTTGCACCGCCTTATCTTCCCCACTAAATGGGGAGCCCCTTGAGAGCAGAGATGTTTTCTCTTGGTTTTCACAATAGTATCTCACACACAGGTTGTAGAACAAAAGGTACCAAAACGGTAAGTGGAGAATAAATCATGAAAATTTACAGCACAACAGGGCCTAGTCGACTTTTAGAAATGCTACACCTGTTTAAATGTGTCCTCATGATTTCAGTCTCTTTCAACCAAGAGTCTTGCTCACAACCTCACAACTGTTCAATAATGAATTGGCTCCCAGACCAATTCCCTCCGAATCTCTGCAGGGGGCCCCTGGCATCAGCATTTTTGAAAGCTACTCAGGTAATTCTAATGTGACCCTGGAGAGGAAAATCATTGCTTCAAACTGTCTCCTTGGGACTCAGTTAATGATTAACTTATTTATCTCAGCTTTTAGCTACTTGGGTTTTTCCCCTCAATATGGCCTCATAGTACTCTATTTGCCAAATCTATTAGACCTTTTATTATAACCTAATAATTTATTCTCTAGAATCACTTTTCATAATAAAAGCTCCAACTAAAAATGCTGTCTTACGCAATTAAAAACATTAACCAACAATTATTTATTGTATTCTGCTCGGTATACTTATTAGCTTTTTGTTGTGTAAACTCAGCCTTTGAAAGTCAGAGGTGACTACAGTACCAACATAGTAGGTACTAAGTAAATATTAGGAGAATTTACCATACGCTTTTGTTCTTTTATGCTTACCTTTCCTGGGCCTCAAATGCCTTTTATACTTTAAAAAGTATCTATTTGAAAAAATTCAGATTCATCCTAAAACACCCAGATCATATATATATATATATATATATATATTTTTTTTTTTTTTTTCTTCAAGGAAGCCGGTCCTGATTCAGACAAACTATTAAGCACTCCCTTCTTTGGCAGCCCTACTGCTTTTATGCCTCTATTTTGCACTTCTATGGCACTGCCATTTCTTTTTCTTCCTTTTTGTTTTAAAAATAAGTTCATTTTCACCACTTGGTGGTGAACAACCTTCAACAGGTACTGACTTAAGTTTCTCTGCTCTTTTTCTCTGAGGGTGCAGCAAAATAGCAAGAAACAATAGGCATTCGGTGAGCTTTCACTGAATGAAAGAATAAATGGCCACAGTGAAGGGAACTGGATGCGTTTCAAAACTGCTATGGCTAAGGATTGAATTGTGTTCCCTCCAAAAATTCATATATTGAAGCCAAGGCCCCTTTGTGATGGTATCTGGAAATGAGGACTTTGGGAGATAATTAGGTTTAGAGGAGGTCTTGAGGGCAGGGCATTCTTGATGGGATTAGTGTCCTTCTAAGTAGAGATACCAGAGAGCTTGCTGTCTCCTCACTGCCCTGTGAAGACATAGCAGCAAGGCAGCTTTCTGCAACTAGGAAGAGACCTCTCACCAAAACCGGACCATGCTGGCAGCCTCCAGAACTACGAGAAAGTAAATTTCTGTTGTTAAAAAACCCCAGTCTATAGAATTTTGTTTTGGCAGCCCGAGCTACTACAACTATGGACTGGGATTCAGTTACTCGAAGAGAACATTAATATAAACATGATAGATATGTATGCTTTTCTCTTTTATTTCAATCCTTTAAAGAGTAGGTTTTTTTTTTTTCAAAGTAAAGGTTATATCAAATGCAATTAGACTGGATGTTCCATAATTCATTCCAATTAAGTTTATTTTTTTAAAAAGATTTTATTTATTTATTTACTCAAGAAAGACACAGAGAGAGAGACAGAGACATAGGCAGAGAGAGAACAGGTTCCCCACAGGGAGCCGGATGTGGGACTCAATCCCAGGACCCTGGGATGGGGATCCTGCCCTGAGCCTAAGACAGATGCTCAACCATTGAGCCTTCCAGGCACCCCCTTCCAAATAAATTTGAGGCAAATTGCTTGGAATTTTCCTGGTAGACTAAGAAGCCAGACATAACCACATGATGTTGAAAATGATGCGATCTCACAGAACAGTTAATCGATGGGAAAAAATAAGTTACCTTGGGAACGATGTTATTACAGATAATTATTCAACAGGTCTCCTTTCTTTTCCCCTCAGGGGTAACATTCATTGAAGACCCAGGATGTTCCCTGCACTGGGCTAGACACTGTCACATGTTAATTTTCTTTTGTCCTAAGGTCAATTTAAGCTTATTTCATTCCAGCATTCTCTTGGGACTCTGGGTAATAAACTCCCCAGTCCTTATCGGGCAAATCTATTCTGTAATTGAGGTATATAAATGCCATAGTTTGAACTGGCAGCCTCTGCACTTTGTTTGGTAGATAAGTAACATTTTAAAATTTAAATTTAAAATTTGGGGAACCAGTACTCAGTTGTCAACATTTTATTTGGTCAGATAATAACATCCAAAGCAAATGAATGGCACCAGCTATCACCATCAGTCTACGAATGACAAAGCATTTGAACACAAAATAATCAAAGAATATACTTTAGAAGGGAATAAAGGGTGGTTTTCAGAGCGATTACATTTCCTCTAACAGAGAAAACACCATCATATTCTTTGTTCTCATTTCAGCTATATTGGTAAAACTTTGTTAAGAACAAATCCATCTCTGGGATAGATATAAAAATTCCCACCATTTACCTTCCCAAGCACTCTACTTCATTCCTATTTCTCACTATTTATTTTATTTTTTTCTAAAGATCTTATTTATTTATTCATGAGAGACACACACAGAGAGAGGCAGAGACACAGGAAGAGGGAGAAGCAGGCTCCATGCAGGGAGCCTGACGTGGGACTTGATCCTGAGATCCCCAGTCCCCAGGATCACACCCTGGGCTGAAGGTGGCACTAAACCACTGAGCCACTTGGGCTACCCTATTTCTCACTATTTAAAATCCTTTCCTTACTCTAACTCTTAAGGCTGGCCATTAACATACAAAGTAAACTCAATTTAATCTCAACAGCCACACAGGGGCCAAATGAAAAATGCCTGTCTACTTAGATGTTTTTATTTTCTCTCATTTTGTCAAATACTGAAGATAAATGGTGCTTCCAGGTACCAAGACTACTTTATACTTCAGCATTTACAATACATCATATGAATATCTATGTGAAGACTATAAATTAGAGACTAACCAATATAGCAACAAAACTTACATGTATGGACCCAATGAGACTACCCTCGCCATTACAATTCCAAGAATCAGAGTTGTTAAAACTGTAGAAAGAAAAGAGATCTGCAAAAGAAAATGTAAAGATATCGTCAGTTTGGAAAAGAGATTAGTGTATTAAAAATATTAGGTGTTTCTCTTTTTACTTGAGTAGAGCTTTATACAGTTTTTGTTTATACAATCCTGTAGTAGTTTTTTCTTACAGACTGGTGTTGCTAAATTTTTATCAGATCATAGTATTATTTTTTTCGCCAAAATGGGGGGGCAAGTATCATATATTACTAATCTTGCAATATGACTTTAAATGTTTTTAGTGGCTTACTGCATATAATACAAAACTGATGATTTTAGTTGATATGGATCAAAGGGAAGGTTTTCCGTTTCAGGTCCTATTTTGGTGTTGACTTGTGCTTTTTTTCTATTTATAATTGCTTCTTCTGCTTCTGTCTTTACCTTACCCTCCCCCCTTTCAATATAGGACCTTCCCCCCATACACACAACCACTCACACACATTTTTGGGGTGCCTCTCCTTTTTCCATTCTGTTCTTTAGCTCTGTTAGTCTATTTTTTCCTATTTTATTTTGCCCTTTGGTCTGTGTTTCTAAAGTCTTTGCTTTTTCTTTTCTCTTCTGTCACTATTTCAACTGGCTAAAATATAAACTGGTCTGTGTATATATGCATTTTGCACACTCATTATTAAATCTGTGCTTTTGCCCTTAATTTTTTAATGGATAAGCACATTTTAGACTTCTTTCTCTAATAAGAAAAACAAAATGTAAAATTGCTTTTATTTCATTTGGTTAACCTTGTTTCCTTGGTTGTTAGTTTTTAACTAGAAATAAGGTTCTGAGTCCTCTCATCTACTGAGGAACAGGGATTTTTAAGTAACATTCCCAAGTCACACAGCTTGAAAGTGGCAGAGGGAGAATTCAAATGCAAGCACCTAACTTCACATCAGGGCTCCTAATCACTCTGGGATTGCTCAATGGGAGACTTATTTAGATATTCCAATAGGACACCTTAAGGGAGACTTTAGGGAAAAATGTTCAGGTAATAATAGGATGGAATATTAGCTTTCTTTTCATGAATGCCTGGCCTTTTGCTCTCAGAGGATAACATTTATGTCTACAACATGTGAAATGGAAAATTGTGGAGTTATTTCAGATAATTCACAAAAAAAAGTTGCTTTTGATAGACTCTTGTTCATTTCTGGAAGTCTATTAGAGAACAAAGGTAGAGTGGTCAGAAACTTTGGAGTATCTCCACTCTAGCTGACCTGGAAGGATGTGGGTAACAGGATCCATAATAAGATCCTTAAGGAAGGACCCATAAGTGTGGATACACAGAAAATATTACAGTGGAAAGTAAAATTCACTCAACTTTTAGACTTTCAAATTAGAACATAAAAATATATCACTAACTCTACTAAAAAAGCTTTTCATCAGAATGCTTGGCATAATGTAAATATAATACCAATAATATTTTGCATAAAATACAAACACTCCTTGAGAGTAAGGAAATAAAAATATGGTCGATAAAAGCTAATCTATACATATGAGCCTAAATGGTGAGTCAAATAATTATTTGGTTGGTTTCATTAGAAATGCATCATTTCTCTTTAACAGTAAGAATCATGTACACTGGCCAAATTCTCATGAATTGATCACTGACATATCGACATTTAAATTCACTGGATGAAACACTGTAGTTTACAAAAAAATTTTGAGCCAGTGTAGTGATTCATCCTTACTTCTTAAACTTAGTCTAACATTAAATTGTTTAAGGTACTATCCATAAAAAAGATAGAACATTTTCTTCAGTAAATTAGACTTGGTATAAGTATAGTTCTTTTTATTTTCTAAATTGAAAGTATGGTGCCTGACATCAGATTATGTATCTTAGAAAGAAAGGTAAGAAAGAATCTAAGATAAATACTATAATTAAGAACTTGGCCACATAGATAGTAGTTTGACAAAATTAGTGCAGGTAACAAAGTGCATTTCTGAGCCTTTTTAAAAATGTAAGTTACCTTTCCAAGCTTCGCTATATCTCGATACAAGGACAAAGGCAGCGTAAAGGCAGCAGTAGAAAGCACAATAATGAAGTGGCGACCAATAAACAAGTTTTCAGGGTCAACTAAAACACAATAAATATTATAAAATCTTTAGAGGTGTGAGTTAACACACCAGTGATACAAATAGCCAAATATTTAAGTGCAAAAATGACTTAAATAACTTTCAATATTATCTAAATGACAAAGATTTTGAGTAAATAAATCTCATAAAACCACGTAAAAATAGAAATGATTCACAAAAATGTAAATACAAAATAACTTAAGGATGAACCTATAGTTCAAATAGTCTTATCTTTCAAATTATTTTAATATCCTTCTAATCAGTTTACCTGCTTCTACCCTTCTTTGTCTCCTTAGAGTATACTTTTAACCTAGAAGGTACAGAGATAGAGATCCTTCCCAAAAGCTAAAAACATGAAGTCACTCTTTGTCTAAAACTCTCTAATGGCAAATCCCTTCTATAGGAAGTAAGCTACATGAGGAGGAGGCATGTTCTGAGGCTTCTTTTCTTTTTTTTTTTTAACTTTTGTGTCCTAGAGAGACTTGAAAGTGGAGCTTGAAATTTCAAAAATCAAGCTTTAGATAAAAATATTCTATTTCTATACTTTTGTTGAGAAAGAAGTGGTTTCCCTGAAAAAAATAAGACAGAGGTAAATAGGGAAGTTCTCCAGAAGCTCTGATGAAACCAGTATACACTGCAGACTCTTGGCTATCCCAGTGACTTGATAAAATAATTGTGTGTGTGTTGTGGGGGAGGGGAGTGTATGTGCATGTGTGCCTATCATCAAATACAAGTAAAAGTTGTAAACATAAAATACAACATACTTACAAGGATTTATATATTTTTAAGGCTGTGCTAATCACAGTATTAACTTTGGGAGCTATGTATCTATTCCAAGGAAGATACCAGTGCTTAAATTTTTTAACGCATATTGAGTTCCTTCAAAGATCATATCATTATGTTTCTGAAATGTCCCCAGTGGTACCAAGTCTTTGTTCATTAATTTCTGCAAAACCAAGTCTTTGATCATTAATTTCTGCAAAGTCTAAAGTTTGTAGAATAAATGTGTGAGTGTGGTTACAAAAAAAGAAAAAAAAAAGAAAGAAAGAAAAATAAAGAAAGAAAAAAAATATTATGGGGAAAAAGTAAGCGAGATTAATTTTCCCATATGGCTAATAAACTAACTTATAGGAAAATTCTCAGATGCAATTTCAAAGTGGTATAAATGTGATACACACTGTAATAAAATAAGCATGAATATTTGCTTAACTCAGATATAACTAAACAATCATCATAAAGTTGTGAATCAAAACACTAAAACATGGGATCCTTGGGTGGCTCAGTGGTGTAGCGCCTGCCTTTGGCCCAGAGTGTGATCCTGGAGTCCCAGGATCGAGTCCCACATCAGGCTCCTGGCATGGAGCCTGCTTTTCTCTCTGCCTGTGTCTCTGCCTCTCTCTCTCTCTCTGTGTCTTTCATGAATAAGTAAATAAAATCTAAAAAAAAAAAAACCCACACTAAAACAGGAAGTTCAAGTTCTAGAAACCTTGAACTCAACTATTTATATATTTCTGGTGAGCATAATTTGAATTAAATTATTATTTTTTTTGAATTAAATTGTTTGTATATGTGTTTCTGTTTACCCCTTCAAATCATTTGCTTTGCCAATATGTTTGGTAGAAAATATAGATTTCCTTCACTGGGAAAATTCTAAGTCCTAGGAAAACACTGAAATAGAATGCTATGAATAGTAGAGAGGAGCCTAGTAACAAAGGATCTCTATTACCATAAAGGACATTTTAAAATAAGGATCTTATGATGAGATATATTATTTATGCTGATCTTCTAACAAAAATATACCTGAATAAGCATTTTAAGTGAAAATAAAGTGGGTGGGGGGCTGGGATGACTGGGTGACAGGCACTGAGGGGGGCACTTGATGGGATGAGCACTGGGTGTTATGCTATATGTTGGCAAATTGAACTCCAATAAAAAGAAATTTTTTAAAAAAAGTGATAAAAAGATTTTTCTAAATTAATAGATGCTACTTTGAAAAACTCAAACAAAAAAGGAAACAAAAAAAAATCTCATGAATCCTGCAATTAAAAGATAATCACAGTTAACATGCAATATATTTTTTCTTGTTTTTTTCCCTTAGTTGTTTATGAAAATAGAAATTTTACATAATTAAGTCAATATTTTATATATGGTGTTAAATTCTTTCCATTTTTCCTTAGCATTCTATCCACTCATGTGCTCTCCGTTTATGAAAACATGATTTGTAGTTGGGGGCTAGAACAGAAGCTGCTAAGAGCTAACAGTGTCAGGCAAGCCTATTAAATGCTAATCACTGTCTGTATTACCTCGGTCGTTTCACACAGTAATTCTATGAAGCAGGTGAAACTCTACTTCCTAATTTAGAGATGAAGAAACTAAAACTCAGAGAGGGCATTAACCTTGTCAAGGTCACACAGCAAGCAAGCATGGGTCTGTGATTTGATGGTCAAGTCTCCTGATTTTCATTCCCACTGAACTCTGTGAAAGAAGAGGTGCAATTTCTAGTTTTAGGTTTTGTTTTATTTTAGTTTGTGTGTCTCTAGAAGGAGTGATTCAGGGACTAAGAAGAAAGGTGTTTTTGTATCACTTTCAACTCTGATAACAACTATAGAGCAGCTAACTATGAGATGAGGATTGTGTGGCTTGGGTGAGAAGCTCTTCAGAACAAAAAGACTCATGATCTCTAAATTATTTAAATCACCATGATACGGTGAAAGGGTGAACGGAAGTGGTGTGGTGGTACATGTTGAAAAGGTCGGCTTGAAATGTTTGTAAAGGTTTTTCATAATCATGCCAAATGAAACAACCCAAATGTCCTTCCACTGGGTGATAGATAAACTGTTGCACATTCATATGATGGAATACTCCTCAGCAATTAAAAAAAAAGAGCAAACTACTGATACACCCCAAAAGTTGGATGGATCTCAAATGCACTATTCTAAATGAAGATTGCCAGACTTGAAAGGCTACATGCTATATGATGCCATTTATTTGGCATTCTGGGAAAAGCAAAACTAGAGAGAGGAATCAGATCAGTGGTTGCCAGAAGCTGGAGATTAGGAAGGGTTTGACTATATAGGGAAATAAGGAAAATTTGGGAGGGTGGGTGATGGACTTGTTCTGTATTTTGATTGTGGTTGTGGATATATGACTATATGCATCTGTCAGACTATACATTACAGAACTATACATTAAAAAGAGCTAATTTTATATATTAAATTATACCTTAACCCAAATAATAGAGAAAAAAGTTAGCTTGCTTATTTAAGAAATGGCATAGTAAAAAGCACATGAAAAATGTTACCACATGGAGTTGGTGATATGTAGCATAAGATATTTAGAATACAAAGTAGTCTATGAATAGCAATGATATCCTTTAAACATTTAAATATGAAATACACTATTTATAAAAGTAGAATAATACTTTAGAAGCAGAATGGATCCAGCTATTGTCAGATATTTGAAGCCATCCAACTCTTCCACTTGCCAATATTTTCCTTGTAAATTATTATGAACTACATTAACTATGAATAGTATATAAATACATTGACTCACCTCCTGGGATTCTTTGGAAAACTTTGCTCCAAGTGTCTCCAGTTATTATGTTGTAACTTATCATAGCTAAAAATGTAATTAAAACAATACAGTCACCAAGAAGCCATCACATGTTTCCTCTTGAACATTTTGATTTTTTTGGATATAACTATTTTTCTTCTCCAAGTTTTTATCTAAATTCTAGTTAGTCAACATACAGTGTAATATTAGTTTCAGGTGTAGAATTTAGGGATTCATCACTTACATACAACATCTGGTGCCCATCACAAGTGCCCTCTTTAACACCCATTAACTGTTTTGAAAGTAGTCAGTTATTCCCAAATAGTAGGCATAATCCTACTTATTTCAAGTATATATTGTAATTACAAATATGTATAATTTCAAAAATAACTGGACAGCATATATATGAGAATATAAGTTTCCATTACAAAAACATTTTCACTTCACAAATTGATTCTTTCCAGAATAATTTTAAATGAGTTTCCATAGTCACTTAAAATGTGATTTGTTTTGTTACAAAAGTTCAGTTTCCACATATTTTCAGGAATACATGCATTTCTCATAGTGAGAAACAATAAGAGAAAATTGTGAAGCCTCCCAAATATCCCCTCATTTGAAAAAGTAAGATTTTGGGGAAATATATTCGTAGCCTTCCATGGAGACATAAGGAACTAATGGTTTGAACAACAGCTGCTGTATTACTTACTGATTTTAAAAATAATGTCAATTCGGTCATTGGTGAATGTTTACCTAACAATTTGCCTAAGAAGTGCTAGGGGACATGTTCATCATTATGGTATAGCTTTTAAATTGCATGTTGGCCTTGTACATGGCTTCCACAAACCCTTAGATTTAAAAAAATATATATATTTCAGCCTTACAAGAAATCTATTATTTCACCTATTCACTTTTAATCTCCTATTAAACCACCTTCTTCAGAAATATTTGTGTGTTTATAAAAGTCACGCTATTCATTTTCACATTCAACTTACCTATAAAAGGGTACAAAAACTGAAGAACAGAGAGGAGGAGATATCCTGGAAAGCCAAAGGTCTTATTGACCAAAGACTGGTAAGTGTCTGTTCCAGAAAGGGCCCCTCCTTTTATCAATAAAACAAGGGAAAAGTCTGTGGCAAAAACAGTGATTAAACAAACATCAGATTACATTTAATACAATTATTTTTTTTTGTTTTTTGATTTAAAGAAAAAGAAACTTTGAAGGGTTTAATGCTACAATAAATTGGCATGGCAAGGCTTACTTTCTTTTCATAAAACATTACCTTTCATGAAACAGTACTGTTTCCAGTTATATATTTTTCAATTCAGATGCAAATACACTTAACGTATCTGTGCAATGAACTGGACAGAAGAGGGTGCGCAGACTAGAGTCAAAGCATCAGTTTCCCATTTTACTTTCATAACCTAACCAGTGTAACGACTATTAACAGGATGCAGCTCAGCTGTCCAAGCAGCAGAATGTAGGTAATCAAATATTTCATAGACATTCAATGTGTGAAAACCAAGAATGAAAAATGATGAAGCAATCAGAAAAAAATACATTGAGGAGAATCAGATCATTTGTTTTATAACAAAGTAGAACTAGTAACTTTGTATTATGGTTAGGAGACAACTCCAAGAATTTTTTTAACTTACCTTTTAAAGACTCAAGCTCTAATTTTACAGTTGGAATTGAAGACACAAATATACATAAATTATATAATTAAAAGTTAATCTCTCCCTTTTTTTTTCACTTAACTCAATGTTTTTTGAGCACTTAATGAATGACACTGAAGTTGTACTGGGTACACAGCTATGCACAGAGAGTGATTCTTATTTTTTCTCTTCTCTCGCTCATGCTTCCACCACAGTTGATTTTTTACTCCTTTAAATAATTTGGAGATGCACTCAAATACAAAGAAGAAAATAGAAATCATTGCAATATGCTTTCCACCTTGATTCCTCCCACATCACTGAATCTTCTTTGAACAAATTCACCAATGAGCTCCAAGTTGATAAATCCAATTGATACCTCCTAAATCTTAATCTAACAAACATTTTATCTTGTAGATCACATAGACATCTTCATTTTAAATGTCCAAATTCTAATTTACATAAATATGTAAATTCAGGAACCTGGTTCTCCAACTATATTTTTCCAAACTGTGAGTAGTACCAACAGAAATTTGAGCATCACCCTAGATTTCTCATTATCCATCACCTGCTACATTCTTTCAGTCACCAAATACATTAACTATTGCATTATAAATTATTCATTGGTATCCCCTCATTTCTAATCTCTAATCTACTTTATTTTAGGGTTTTAACTTGTTTAAGCTTCACAACAAGTCTAAGTGAAATTACTACCTCAAGTCTCCCTTTAATAGATGAGAAAAGTGAGTCACAGAAGGTTAAACAAATAACTGAACTTAACAGAGCTAGAAGGGAAGAGTTGGGACTCAGATCCTGGTTGTCTGGCTCCAAAATCCATGTACTTAACTTTCATCTCTGTTGCCAGTAACCATGGACATTAGCCAATGGCTTAACCTGTTAAAGTCTCAATTTCCTTCTCCATAAAATTAGAACATGAATACCTACTTCATGGAGTTGGAAGGATTAAGTGCAGTGGTTGCATCATGCTCAGCACCAAACCAGTCCTCAGGAAGTGGTAATGATTATCATTACGTGGGAGCCTTCATAAATGCCTCTCTGTAAACCTCTGACTTCCTCTCTTTCCACTTAGAAACATCAACCCTATGCTTTAGCAGATGGAATCACTCACACAATTCCCTTTTGCATCTCCACATTTCCATCTGCTTAGAGTACCCTTCCATTTTCTTTGCTCACTCATAAACAGTCAGTGGAGGTGTCTCTTAGCCCCAAAATATGCCTTCTCTTTTGAAACTAGGTTAAATGCCAATATCCCTCTCATCTCGCACATATTTTTATTATGGTATTTTCCATAAAGTATTATTATTCTGTTTTTGTCTGCCTGACACTACATTGTGAGCTTCATACAGGCAGGAATAATGTTCTTCATTCATATAATGACAGCAGTGTCACTAAATATTTGTTGAATGAATCAATATAGCAGGATGGCTAGATGTCTACATATCTGATTAAAATTTAACATGATAAACGGCCTAGCAAGTATATTTTAAAAATACTTTGCAAGCACAAAGAACATGGCAATTAATTATATTGCCTTTTTTAAAACCATGACGAGCTTCGCAGAGGAGTTAAGTAGGCCTTGGATATAGGATTTCATCAGGTAGAGAAGAAAAGGAATGTCAAGGAGGGAGACTACCCAAGGGAAGGCAGCATGAAAGCACATTCTACTGGGCATAGAATAGTCCAGAAGGCTAAAACATATCTTCAACACATAGCAGTGTTGGTGACAATGTGATAGAGAGTCTAGATTAGTTGGAGATAAAACTAAAACTTCACACTGTGGCTGAGCTATGAAGGAATTGGAATGCAATAATTTTTTTTTTCTGTTGTCATTATACAGTCTTAGAATGCCTTGATTGGAAACCTGAGAGAGACCAAAATGAGGTTTTGTTTTGTTTTTAAAGACAGAGAGAAAGAGGCAGAGACACAGGCAGAGGGAGAAGCGGGCTCCCTGTGGGGAACCTGATGTGGAACTCGATCCTGGGACTCCAGGATCATGCTGAAGGTAGATGCTCAACCACTGAGCCACCCAGGTGTCCCCCAAACTGAGGTTTTATGAAGGTAGTTCTTCAGCAATATGGAAGACTCATCAGGAAATGGACAGATGCTAAAGGCAGGAAAACTCAACAGCAACTTATTGACCAAGGAAGAGGAAGAATGAGGACCTCAATCACAGAGAGTAGGTGATCAGTTTCATAGATGTTGTGAAGTTTTGGTGAAGAACTATATGCTTGGGATGAGAATGCTGATTTTTATAAAAGTTCAAAATCCATTGCTTAAAGTAAACAATTTATTAAGAATTTAGTCTATATATATATATATAAAGAATTTATAATAAATGTGTTTTTCTACTTATAAAGTACAAGCTATAAGTATATATCTTAAGAGCTTTAGGTATCTGAAATATCAGGGCAACCCTAGTGGCTCAGCAGTTTAGCGCCGCCTTCAGCCCAGGGTGTGATCCTGGATACCCAGGATTGAGTCCCACATCGGGCTCCCTGTATGGAGCCTGCTTCTCCCTCTGCCTCTCTCTCTCTGTGTCTGTCATGAATAAATAAATAAAATCTTTATTTAAAAAAGGAATCTGAAGTATCAATCACTATAACATTTTGTCCACTTTATTTTTTTTAAAGATTTTATTTATTTATTCATGAGAGACACAGAGAAAGAGAGAGAAGCAGAGACACAGGCAGAGGGAGAAGCAGGTCCCCTGCAGGAGCCCGACAGGACTCGATCCCAGGACTCCAGGATCACGTCCTGAGCTGAAGGCAGATGCTCAACCGCTGAGCCACCCAGGCGTCCCATTTGTTCACTTTAAATATATGGCATGCAAATTTTAGATAAATCCATGAATGAGTCCATGTCATTCAACATAAAAATTTTCTTTTAAATCAGTATGTGTGTTTGAACAATAAAAATTATTATACTCTAATCAACAAATATGAAAATCTTAAAGCAAATTAAGAGAAAACATTTGTTGTGAATAATTTGTTCTTATTCTCCAACATGTCAAAACCATGAAAACTGAACTTAGAAAAACTACTGCTGAGCTGGACATATCTCATTAGAGGCCTTAAAAAGACAAAAGAACAATCACAGAGAAAAACCATTGTGTAATTGCAGTGTCATTTAAAGAAAAATTCAATACTATACCCTAATTGCAGATTTTCCTCTTAAAAGCCTAATTAAGAAATAAGATGAATTATAGTCTATAAATTTTTTTGCTTCTGTGTGGTCATCCTTTATTCATCAAAGTTGCTTAAAATTTTGATCATGCAACTGAACTAACAAGAGTAACTAATTTCTACCGATTAATAAATTAGCAAAATACAACTTTGCAAAAGGCTGCTCACTCTCATTGCATAAGTTCATGCATAATATTGAGAAAGCTATTTATATTATTTCATATTTACCTCTGTATAATGTGACTTGGCTTTAGTAAACTGTTAATTCACCTGGAGTATTTAATTCTTTGGTGATACATATTTTTAAATTTTCTTCTATCTACTGGTTTACTGTGTACATAAATGTTTACAATGTACTTAAATAAGTCGTGGTTATTATGCCTGGGTGGAAATTAATTATAGTCAGTGCTGACTGACTAGGAAACAGGAAATTAAAAAGGACAAGGGTAATCCTTGAATGGGTTTTTTTAGTGTGATGAATGTTCTCAGGAATAGAGTGCAATTTTTAAACACCAACAACCCTGAAGAAGCCCAGTGTTACAGGTCCCGCGTTACTAAGTTATGGGTCTTAAGCTAAGTTATGGGTCTTAAGCTACAAAGTAAGAGCTGTAGAAGCTCAAAGCCCCATAGGTTTGGGGAGAATAGTCCGTAAGAGGAAAGAAGGGAGCAAGGCCGTCCAGTGCTTCTGCAGCTCTGACTTTGGAATCTATAGCATGCTTTACTCTCTTCCTCAGCCTGAGGGAAACAAATGGCAGTTACAGGCTGATCTTGGAAAACTGAGATTTTATGAGGCCACAGCATCTAGCTCAGGGTCTCCAGAAGCAGAGCTGGGTCAGAGATTCTTAGGCAGGGGACTTGAGGGAGTGCTCTCAGGAGAATGGGGATAGGGCAGGGGAAATAGTTCAGCACCGAGGTGGCCTCAGGTGGAGACTAGCTGCACCTGCAACACGCACTGGCCTCTCCTGGGGGGTGGGAAGGGGAGTGGCGGTGAAGGTGTGTATGTGTGGGCCGGGGACACGCAGCTTTTGTGTTTCTTTTTCTTTTTTTAAGATTTTATTTATTTATTCATGAGATACAGAGGAAGAGGCAGAGACACAGGCAGAGGGAGAAGCAGGCTCCATGCAGGGAGCCCGATGTGGGACTCGATCCCAGGACCCCAGGATCACGCCCTGAGCCAAAGGCAGAGGCTCAACTGCTAAGCCACCCAGGCGTTGTCTATCAGTCAGTCATTGGCTGCGGACTGTGGGGAAATGGTGACTGGACATCATAACCTTACAGGAAGGTGGTGCCATTGAGAGCCAGGTCAATGGTTTGACAACAAGGTTGAGGTGTTTGCAGTCCCTGGAAAAAAGGCATCTAAGTGACCACACATAGTAGTCACCATAAAAACCACCACTGCAGGTGCTCTTTGTGATCACTGCCTTTTTCACGGTGATCCTAAGGTAGAGGAAGGACCCTGTGATTGTCTTGAGGTGAGGTGGTGGGGTGACTTCCCACCAGGGAAGAGACCCGCAGGAAGAGGAGGTGATTAGGGGTTGTAAAGCGCACTCAGATGGAGGAGTGGCAAAAGGTGAGTGTGAATGAACACTACATGACAAGGGGGGAAGCAGAAGAGACGTGATAGAGAAGGAAGGGCTGATGTCTGTATTTTCAAAGTAGTGTCTTTCAGCCCTCATCAGCCTTTAAGATGGCTCCCCCACCTACCACTCTGCATAAGGTGTAAAAGGCACATGAAAAGGATTTAGGCTTGGTAATATATGATGCTTTTCTAATCTGTTCCGAATATTAGCAGGAAAAGTAAATCTCAGACATAAATGTCTAAATTCTTTAGGAGTATTTGATGCACTTCCTAATTAGGAGATTCAGTTATTTTGTGTGTGTGTGTGTGTGTGTGTGTGTGTAATCATCATTGCACTACTTAAGTTGCAGGAAAACGCAATCACATAGTATTTTACCTGTAACATATGAAACACCAAATAAAAGCAATATTCCCAGAGGAAGGCCGGCTTGCTTCATTGAATAAGGTAATCCTGGGAAAATATAAAATGCCCCACCCATTACATTAATAAAACATCTAGAAATATGGAGGCTTTCTCCCAATTCCTGTATATAACAGGCTAAGTAAATTGACATATTCATAGCACATGGTTGTAAACAGTGCATACGGCTACTCAAATGTTAGCATTTCAATACTATTTCAGAATAAAATGCAAGCTAAGGACACATCAAGAGAGCAAGTTTATGAGGTGATGGAATAGGAATAAGAAAGCGACAATGAAAAACAGATGCCAGTTCACACAAATAATGTTCGCTTCACAGTGAGGGGGGAATATGACCTTGAATATATAGAAAGTAATGACCAAGAGCTTTCCTTACAAGCTAGCTGGGAAAGCAAAGAGGGTAATAAGAGCACACAAAAGGGTTATGGGATATGAAGAAGGACTGACTCTGGAATCGAAGTAGGTAACTAGGAGAGAAAAATGAGAAGGAAAGAGTATTTTGTATCATTTATTATTTTTTATTTTTTTAAATTTTACTTATTCATTTGAGAGAGAGAGAGAGAGAGAGAGAGAGAGAGCGCTCAGGGGCAGGGGGAGGACTGGGGGAAGAGGGAGAAGCTGGGCAGGGATTCCCCATGTGGGGCTCCATCCCAGGACCCTGAGATCATGACCTGAGCCGAAGGCAGACGCTTAACCGACTGAGCCACATAGGTGCACCATAAGTATTTTTTTATAAAGCTGAAGGGGTATATAGATGTATTTCTTATGAAATGGTCAATTTTATATTAAGGGCAAGAAAATATTTAAGCTAAAACATATTTAAACTATATCCATTCAGAATTTTTATTCTCTAGAAATGTTTCCCTTAAAAACTCTGCTGAACATAATTAAGAGGTACTTTGTATGTTGCTGACATGAATTAGCTTAAAGTGTTCACATGGGGAATGAACTCTGGAATTTTGCCAAGGAGAGCACCCACACCTCCCTGGTTCATGGGGGCAGAAATTCAAGCAAGTCTTTGCCCCTACTTGGTTACCTGGCCTCACATACTTCTATCTTACGTGCCATTAAAGAGAACTGCCTATTATTTGGAAACAACATCAGGAAACACATCAGCTTGCAAAAGGTGAAAAAAGTAATGCAATTCCAATAAATAATCAATGACGACTAACTAAAATGCAAAGCTTTACAGGAAAAGGTAGTGTTCTCAATGAATAGGGCAGGATGTTGTTTTTGTCCTTTCTTTTTCTTAAATTGGATGTTTTCAAAAAAAAAAAAAAAAGAATAATTAGGGCAGCCTGGGTGGCTCAGCGGTTTAACGCCAACTTCTGCCCAGGGTGTGATCCTGGGGTCCCAGGATCGAGTCCCACATTGGGCTCCCCGCATGGAGCCTGCTTCTCACTCTGCCTGTCTCTGCCTCTCTCTGTGTGTCTCTCATGAATAAATAAATAAAATCTTAAAAAAAAAGAATAATTAGGGGTGCCTGAGTTGTTCAGTCACTTAAATGTCTGGCTTCAGCTCAGGTCATGATCCCAGGGTGCTGGTGTCAAGCCCTGCATCAGGCTCCCTGTGCAGCTGCTTCTCCCTCTTCCTCTGCAGCTCCCCCTGCTTCTGCTGTCTCTCAAATAAGTAAATAAAATCTAAAAAACAAAAAAAAAAAGAATAATTAGCACTGAAAAAATAATTGCCTTAATTATGATAATGCAACACACTTAATTTTGTCAGAACTTTCCCCTTGCTTCACATTGAGAAAATATGAGCTACTCATTTCTTTCAATTCTGATTATATGGCTCCTTTGTTAAGATAAATTTATATTTTTTCATTTTTCACCAATATCTACTTATTGACTAAATGACACTTAAAATTAATATATCAGAGTAAGTTTGTACTTAAAAATTAAAACTATAGATAGGTAAGGAAATACTGTATGATTTAATTTTCCATAAGATTGTTATGTTTTTAGATTACACTTATGTACCTCCAATATTTCCAAATATCTGGAGATTTATACTCTAAAAGGTCATAGAAAGGTGGTTCAGGTAATGGTGGACACTTCAGCAAGAGGGAAAAGTACATTAGGTAGCATTATCAATTGACCACCTAGCCTATAAAAATAAATCCAGCATATCCCATAGGCAGTTCCACTTTAACCTACCACATGTGGAGGATGCTCTCAAATGAGGAAAAAGAATGAATCACATCCCCACCTTTTGCATGAAAGACACTGTTGTGATGCACATTGTTACGATTGGGGGGGGGGGAGAAGGTTTAATGAGGAAAAAATAATCAATTTTATTATTTAAGATTTTTTACTTAAAAATAATCAGTGACTAGTAGCAACATGGTAAGTCTTAAATTTCATCTTTTCACTTAAAATCTAAAACAAAACAGCACTTACCGATCATACCAGATCCTATAATCGAGTTGACAACATTAAAAACAGCCGTGCACTGACGACAAGCTTTCCCTTTGTGCTCATGTTCAGAAATGAGAGCTTCTCTGTCATCTAGGTGGCTCTGGTTTTAACATATAAAATGGCAATTACATATACTCAATTAAATGGTCAAAAAAATCAGAAAGTGTCAGACAAATCTAGAGTGGAGGACACCCCCTGGACGTTAGCAGTAATCATCGGCAATGACGAGGGCGACAGGGAATGATTCAGCGGCGCCGCACCCCATGCAGGCGGGTGTCCCAGCCTCGGCGGCGCCCGAACCAGGCCAGCGGCGGGGATCGCGAGTCCCGGGTCCGCCGGGGAGCCTGGGGCACAGGGGGTCCTCTAGGGAGCCTGGGGCACAGGGGTCCGCTGGGGAGCCTGGGGCACAGGGGGTCCTCTAGGGAGCCTGGGGCACAGGGGGTCCGCTGGGGAGCCTGGGGCACAGGGGGTCCTCTAGGGAGCCTGGGGCACAGGGGGTCCGCTGGGGAGCCTGGGGCACAGGGGGTCCTCTAGGGAGCCTGGGGCACAGGGGGTCCTCTAGGGAGCCTGGGGCACAGGGGGTCCTCTAGGGAGCCTGGGGCACAGGGGGTCCGCTGGGGAGCCTGGGGTACACGGGGTCCTCTAGGGAGCCTGGGGCACAGGGGGTCCTCTAGGGAGCCTGGGGCACAGGGGGTCCGCTGGGGAGCCTGGGGCACAGGGGGTCCTCTAGGGAGCCTGGGGCACAGGGGGTCCTCTAGGGAGCCTGGGGCACAGGGGTCCGCTGGGGAGCCTGGGGCACAGGGGGTCCGCTGGGGAGCCTGGGGCACAGGGGGTCCTCTAGGGAGCCTGGGGCACAGGGGGTCCGCTGGGGAGCCTGGGGCACACGGGGTCCTCTAGGGAGCCTGGGGCACAGGGGGTCCTCTGGGGAGCCTGGGGCACAGGGGGTCCTCTAGGGAGCCTGGGGCACAGGGGGTCCGCTGGGGAGCCTGGGGCACAGGGGGTCCGCTGGGGAGCCTGGGGCACAGGGGGTCCTCTAGGGAGCCTGGGGCACAGGGGGTCCTCTGGGGAGCCTGGGGCACAGGGGGTCCGCTGGGGAGCCTGGGGCACAGGGGGTCCGCTGGGAGCCTGGGGCACAGGGGGTCCTCTAGGGAGCCTGGGGCACAGGGGGTCCGCTGGGGAGCCTGGGGCACACGGGGTCCTCTAGGGAGCCTGGGGCACAGGGGGTCCTCTGGGGAGCCTGGGGCACAGGGGGTCCGCTGGGGAGCCTGGGGCACAGGGGGTCCTCTAGGGAGCCTGGGGCACAGGGGGTCCTCTGGGGAGCCTGGGGCACAGGGGGTCCGCTGGGGAGCCTGGGGCACAGGGGGTCCTCTAGGGAGCCTGGGGCACAGGGGGTCCGCTGGGAGCTGGGCACGGGTCCTAGGGAGCCTGGGGCACAGGGGGTCCTCTAGGGAGCCTGGGGCACAGGGGGTCCGCTGGGGAGCCTGGGGCACAGGGGGTCCTCTAGGGAGCCTGGGGCACAGGGGTCCGCTGGGGAGCCTGGGGCACAGGGGGTCCGCTAGGGAGCCTGGGGCACAGGGGGTCCTCTAGGGAGCCTGGGGCACAGGGGGTCCTCTAGGGAGCCTGGGGCACAGGGGGTCCTCTAGGGAGCCTGGGGCACAGGGGGTCCTCTGGGGAGCCTGGGGCACAGGGGGTCCGCTGGGGAGCCTGGGGCACACGGGGTCCTCTAGGGAGCCTGGGGCACAGGGGGTCCCCCGGGGAGCCTGCATTGGTCGGGCGCGATTGGGGTCACCCTGGAAGGCGTCTGCCAATCAAAAAAAAGTCGGCGGGAGGCAAACCCTTTCCCCGGGAGCCCTTTCCCGGTGCTCAGCCGGACCGAGGGCAAGTCGGGGTCCCCGGGCGGGCTGAGGGAAGGCGACGCGGGCCGGCCCCGGAGCGTTACCTGCCGAGGCACGTCGGGCCCCTGCGCCTGGTAGCCCATGGCTGCAGCCGAGTCCTCGGCGCCTGGAAGGTTCGAGCGCCCCGGGAGCCCGCTGCACCGGCTGGAGCCCGCGCGGCCCGGGCGCCTTCCTCCGGGGGCTGGGGCGGGAGGCTCCGGGCGTCGGGGCCCGGCCGCGCCCTCGGGTCCGCGCACCGCCTTGGCCGCGGCACCTGGGCTCAGCTGGGAGCTACCGCGCGTGCGGCCCGCCCGGGGTGGGGGGGGGCGCCGGGAACCCGCGGCTTCTGTCCTTCCTCCCCCTCCTCCTCTCGCCGTGCACACCGTCTGCGTCAGGCTTTTATTTTATTTTATTTATTTTTTTTTGTTGTTTTTTGTTTTTTTGTTTTTAGGCTTTTATTTTAAACGGGAAACAACCAAGCAAACCAAAAACTTTTCCAGGGTCTTAGCAAAGTCGATTACTGAGCGTGCTTTGGTTAGATGTTCCCTGATGACTTTGCAGAAAAGGAGGCCGAGATAGTGGCAAAGAAGATGGACGCGCGACGAATTCAAGCTGTGAGTGTGGGAAGCTGGTGCAAGGGGCTGGAAAGGGGGAAGCGCTTAGAGCATCCGACGGGGAATCTCCCAGGGTCACCTCTGCACCCTTCCTTTATTACAGATAAGGGACTGGCTCAGGGAATATTCAGTCACAAGGACAATACGCAGGGCAAGGTGTCAAGGACAGTAAGGGGGGGTAATAGAATACCCCACTTGTCAAACACTTACTAAAGAAATTCTTTTATTTTAAATCATGAAACATGTTTTAAAAGCATGAAAAAAAACTAGGGAATTATAAAATAAGCTCTATATCAAATAACAAATGTTAACATTTAAAATAAATTTTGTTTATTTCAGAGAGAGAGAGAGAGAGAGAGAGAGAGAGAGAGGCGGACCCCCTGCTGAGCAGGGGGCCCAAGCTCAGGCTTGAACCCAGGACCCTGGATCCTGACCTGAGCCCAAGGCAGCCGCTTAATAACTGAGCCACCCAGGCGCCCCACAAATGTTAACATTTTTTAAAAAATATTTATTTCTTTATTTGAGAGAGAGACAGACCGAGCAGGGGGTAGTGAGAGGGAGAGAATGTCCAGCAGACTGCCAGCTGCACTGGGAGCCCTTTGCAGGGATGGATCCCAGACCTGGAGATCAAGACCTGATCCGAAATCAAGAGTCCGAGGCTAAACCCACTGAGCCACCCCGATGCCCCAACAAATGTTAACATTCTGTCACATTTTCTTCTACTGCAAAAATAAGCATTTAATATTGCAATAGAAACCCGTTTGTCCATCCCCATTCCTTTCTTTTCATCCCTGAAATCCTCTAATTCACGAAAGTTGGTGTGTATCTTTTCCATCCATACTTTATATTTTAACTCACTCTTTTGTAGCTATAAATAGCATATAGCATTGATTTGTATGTTTTCAAGATTTACAAAAGATGTTCCCATATTGTACATGTTATTTTCCCACTAGCATTAGTGTTTTTTACCCAATATGCAATTTTCAAGATGTACAGATATAGGCAGGTATAGTTTATTCATTTTATCTCTCACAGTTCAGTTAGCCATCCTCCTACTGAGAGAAGGTTATAAACATTTTATTTTACACCCTCCTGGAGCATATTAAATGACAGGTTCTCTAGTAGTAGAATTGTTAGGAAATAAGTCACACATATTTCAACTTCACAAGATATTCCCAAATTGCTCTACAAATTGGTGGTACCAATTATACTTCCACCAGCAGAGATGGACTTTCTGTTTTTCTGTATTGTCTACAGCACCAGAACTTTGGTTTTTTTTTGGTTTTTAAAGTTTTGTTGTTCTGATGGTTTTTTTTTTTTAAGATTTTATTTATTTATTCATGAGAGACACAGAGAGAGGCACAGAGAGAGGGAGAGAGGCAGAGACACAGGCAGAGGGAGAAGCAGGCTCCATGCAGGGAGCCCGACGTGGGACTCGATGCCGAGTCTCCAGGATCAGGCCCTGGGCTGAAGGCGGCGCTAAACCGCTGGGCCACCCGGGCTGCCCCCTGATGGGTTTTTAAAAATGGCATATAATAATTGTATAAATTTGCATTGTCCCAATCTATATTGTGGTTGAGAGTCTCTTTATAATATTTGATAAATGTAATTAAAATTTAGGTTGTCTCCTTTGTGAGTTTCATTTTATATCTCTTGCCCTTTTGATTTTGGTTGTTAGTTTTTTTTCTTATCAATGTGTGAGAGTTACTTATATATTTGGGGTGGCAACTTAGGTCAACTATATATTTTGCACATATTTTCTCTCAGCTTTCTTTTAAAACTGTGGCATTTTCTATTTCATAAAATTTATATTTTTGATATATTCAAAATTCTAATACTTAAAATTCTAATACAAAAACATTAGGAGAAAGAAAATTCTAGCATTATTTTACTAAAAAATATAGATTCAAATATTCCAAAATATTAGCAAATTGATGCCAATGGTGTGTGGAAAATTAACAATATCATGACATAGTTGAGTATATTCCAAGTATGAAAGGGTGACTTAACTAAAAACATTGATAAATGTAATTTCCCACACTAACAGATTATAGGAAAAAACCATGTAATTATTTTAGTAGATACAGAAAAAAGCTTGATAATGTTGAATTCACATTTGAAAAAGGCTCTTTGTAAATTAGAAATAGAAGAAAATTCATTAAACTGATAAATTATTTTTTTCACTAATAGGGAAATTTTGGAAGCATTTCCAAATAATTAAGAAATGAAACAAAAATACCCGTATCATGACTTCTATTTGACATGATGTTGGAGTCTGTAGCCTTAAGCAATAAGAAAGGAAAAAGAAATTAGAGGTATGAGGATTGGAAAGGTAGAAGTAAAAACCATAATTTTCTAATAAGATTGTTTATGTAAAAAATTCAAAAGAATATAAGAAGGGAAAATATTAGAAATAATAAAAGACTTTAGGGAGTTGACCAGATACAAGAGTTACCTTCAGATGTATCATTTTTTCTACAGCAACAACAAACAACCCGAAATTATAATGAAAGAAACTAATTTTTAATAGTGTTAGAGAATATCAAATACTCAGGAATAAATTCA